GCACTCATCCCAGCAGGGAGAAACCTCACTCGATGGAGCAGCTTAGGTCAACATCTGAAAAGAAACAGGACCTTATTTTCCTTAGAGTGTCATCTCTAGGAAAGGTAATGATGCCGAAAAATAGGGAAGGTGACTGTCTTTCTGATCTGACACCAGTCAGGATTTGCTTTATCTTGTCCACACCTGTGGAAAGGTATATTTTACAAGGTGAAGGTAAAACAGATTGAAATGCATATAATCATCCCAGGAGGCCAGTCGCTAGAGTAAAGTCACCACTCCATGCATTTTACGGGCATGCCTTCACAAAGTGCTGATTGCATGTACACTTTAAAGATGACGTGGTCCTCCTCCAAGCATTCTTTATTTTTAAAGAGCCCCTGTGTTGTGTTTCCAAGGTTATCAGCTTAGCTTGGCAAGAATAGTAAAAGAACAGCCGAAAGGTTTGTGTGAGCTAAGGACTCAGGTGGGGAGGAGGATTTAAAAGGTTCTTCAAGAATGAATCTGATAACAAAAGTCTAGGTCTTTAGGTAACTGGGTGAGTCTGACAGGTGTCAGAGAAGTGCTACCATGATGAATAAAAGCGTACAAGTTAGTGACAGAGGGATGCTGGATGATCCTTCTTCAACACTTGCTTTTGTCTTCCCAGCATGCCAAACTGGCTTTAACACCCAGGGCTTCAAAGCGAATTCTCCATTTCCTAATTAAGACAGAAAGGTGAAGATGGACAAGAATGTGTCAACTTCACATTAATCACACACAAACTCAATGCTCTCTGCTCCATCAAAAGAAGCCAGTTATGTTAGAAAAACATGCCACCTGCAGTTGATGAAAAATTAGACATGCAAGCAACAAGGCAGACTCAGGCTGCAGGGATATTTAGTTTGCTTTTCTTGCCACTAAGAAAAAGTTTCCTCTGTTGTTAAGGTACAGACAGGGTGAGGGTGGAGAGGCGCAGGGAGGCGCAGCACCGCAGGGGTTGGCAAGCCAGAGGTGCCGCACTGGGAACCCAGAGATCTGAGTAAATGCAAAGAATTGCAACACACAGAGGTGAGAGAAGAAAAGATTTATTTAAGAAAAGTTCACCCCCCACAGACAGGGAGTGGGCCTACACTCTAGGTGAGTGTGGCGTCGTAACCCCCAAAGCCCTGGCTTAAATCCTTTACTTGGAGTTGTTGCATGTGACTGCCATGACTTCTTTATCGACCACCTGTGGATGTCTTGGAGATCCTGTGACACAGAAACTCATTAATGTCTGTCCATATTATCATAGCCCCTAGAGAAGGGCGTGACAAGCATTCCAATTCTCCTGCACCTTCCCAAACGACATTCCTTAGAGATAATGGAGGGTGCACCTCCCCTTATCGCCTAGGCATTCCCAGTGGTTAGCTTCAGAGGATCCTTGACTTCACCGTAGATAGTGCCCAATTTACTGGAAGATTGAATCCCCACCTGCTCTCCCTCTGAGCGGTTATATCTTTTGCAATTACAAGTTTCATGACTTTTACAATCCTTGCCCAATGCCTGATGTCCTAGGCCTTGTAAATTCCCTTTATTTTAGGCAAGCTTGAATGCCGCTATGAGATACCTTTGATACCTGGCACCAGGAAGTCTATTTCTGAAAAGACAAAGTCGACAAAGTTAATTTTACTTAAAGTGTGCATTTCTCCAAAAGCATAGCTTCTACTTTCTCATCATTGTGTCAGGGTTTAAAAACAAGATGAAAAATGGCTTCCCACTCTCGGTCTGCCCTTTCCCCTATGTCACTCGAAGCAGACAGTCACCTTCCCTATTCTTCAGCATCATTACCTTTCCTAGAGATGACACTCTAAGGAAAATCA